AAAAAAAAAAAAAAAAAAATACAGGAATGGGTTTATTGAAAAATAAACAAATTATAGGTACTCAATTGTCCGACGATAGTGTGTCTAATGGGTGTGTAGGTGTGAGGTGTAGATGTTGTTGGAGTTGAGTTCGCCAAGCTGACTGCTAAATGTTTGCAGAAATCCTCTTCCAATCATCACTCTTCTGAATTTCTTGAGAGCAGTACCTCTCTTGAACACAATATTACCTTCTTTGATATGGGATGGATTCAACATGTTGAACATTTACTCTCTTTGAACTTTTTCAATTTCCCATATATGGATGTTCAGGGACATTCAACGATGAACGTTTAATCCTTGTTACGTTGTAAACAAGTCTTTCTCTCCACTCAGAATATCATTGACACCAAACATTCACCTCTTTTGAAAGAATTTATTCAAAAACATTCTTCATGTCACACGTTCTCTCATTATTCAACGATGAAATTTTCAGAAAAATTCAAAATTTTGAGTGAAATTTCAAATCATTATTTAGTGAGTGTCAAGGGATTGAATGTCATTCATGAATGTTTATTTCATTATGAGAAATATTTGAAAGAATTCAATGATGAGAAGAATATGGATCAATCTCAAATGAAAGAATTCAATGATGAGAAGAAATCTCAAAAAAGAAACAAACGTTTGACATTTGGTTACACGTGTTTCGATGATGATGATGAATGTGGTGATGAATATGATGATGAACATTCTAATCGATCAAAACAGAATTCCATGAATTTCAACATTTCTCAAGAAGAACATTCCTTCATTTATTGTGCTCAAATTATTCCATACTTTGCCTATTGCCCACAAGTTCATGATTTACTTCGAAAAGAAGACGATAATTATGCTATTAGTCCTCTCTTTTTGATTCGACTGAAGAGAATTCCATCATCATATCTTCATTTATCACAACAACAATCATTACCACAGAATGACATTTTATTACAACATGACATGGAGAATTCAGATTCCACTTTTCATGCAACATTGTCAGATTCTTCCCTTCTTCATATTCATCCCTTAGAAGGTAAACACACTTGCAATGAAGATTTCATTTATTTGAAATTTGAATATCCTCATTATTCAACAACGATGGCATTGTTAGATTGTGAGATTTTGAAATGGCAACAATCAAAGAGTTCATTTGAATTTTGGGATTGCATGTATGAACATTTGAGGAATTCCTTTTTATCCAAACATGGAAATTCATCCAAAATGTCAACAAAAAAGAATAACAACACTTCCTTTACTCCAGTGGCTTCACGATTTGAAAATGCCCAACTCGTATTAAGAACTCTTTCCTTTGATCCAAAATTCAAAATTGCAGGAGAGACCTTTCAAACTTTTCATGAAAAAGATCGAACCTTCTTTTTCCATTCGAAATTTTTTGAACGATTGAGTGGAAGAAGAAATAATCCATATTTGGTTCTATTCGATGATGAAACAGACAAGAAATGTAAACAAGTGAAAAGCTTTTTCCATCTTCCTGAATATTTATTAACCTTTCGAATGAGTTATAACTTGAAACATGGACCATATTTCATTTCTTCTAAATTAGCTCAACAAGTAATGCCTAAAATTGGAAACTTCAACGAAGGATCTACTCCTCCTTCTTTATTTAGAATTGTTTGTAATAACAAGCTTGGTTATTTATTAACAAGCAATGATCAGGAGGGAAAATACGTGAGTTTGCAAGAACATTTTCCACACTCGAACTTTGAATCTCATTCCTATCATTATCCCATTCATATCCTCGACTATTCTCGAGCAAGTGATAAAGATGCAAAAGCAACAGTTAATTTATTGCACATGATGAATGGATTTTGAATCGTATCAGGGACAATCATTGTACAATTATTTAAAAGCACAAGTGAAGGAATTATTTCAAGACAACAAGAAGAAACATGATCCTCGAAGGATGAGTGAATTTGTAGATTTATTTTGGAATGTTTTACCTTTTTTGAACCATCAAGAAGAGAGTAATCAGGTCAACCCTCTCAACAACGAGAGTGAGTTTCGCTTAATTGTCATTCCAGAGTACACTCATCAGAAATGTCATGTTTCCATACCTTTCAATGATGACTTGTTCAATCAAGTGTGTGAAGTGTTTCATCAATCTCCGTGTGCCTTCTTTGTGGATTCCATGTTTTTAAAACTCAATGAGAGAGGTTGGATATTTGAAAAGACATTATTCACTAACACTAACACTACAAAATCCAGCACGGATAGTTCTCAACAACAACAACAACAACAACACTCAGAGTTTGGAAAAGTGTACAAGACCAACTCCAAAAGTGCATTGAAAGAATTGTTTTGGTATCAAGTAACACAAATACAGTTGAAAGTGAGAGTGAATCAAGAGTAAAAAGACAACGCTAATATTCAACAACGTAATTGTGTCTTGATGAAGGTTTGAAAAACAATTGATGTTATATTAAATCATCTTCATTAACATAATGCATTTGAGGTACTAGTCCTAACTACAGTCTCAAATTATGGACCTTCCTTGAAATATGCATCCAGGATAACGATTGAAGAACAATTATGACCTTGTTGCCATAACCCTTTGAAACAACAAGGAGAACAAAAAGATAATAAACTTTTGAGAATTGTATTATTGCCAAACATCACCACCTTTCAAATGGAACCAACACACACGCAAATGCTGTCTTATTTTCTCTTATTTGGTTCTATTAGCAATCTTATTCAATAAAGTTCTGTAAATATCCTTATTAATAAAATCAGGAACACGATCAATCATTTGATTCATGGATTGAATGGCTGTTTGTTCATAGGACTTGTACAATTCTTCCAAATTCAATTGTTTGTACAATTCCTTCACCAATTTAACCTTTTCAGGTTCTTCCTTTCCATAATTAGCCTTTAACACCTGTAATTGTTCTTCATTCGCCAATTCCAAAGCCTTTACGACTAACCAAGAACATTTACAATCCTCAATATCTCGTCCGACCTTACCAATATGAGATGGATCTCCATAACAATCCAAATAATCATCCTGAATTTGGAAATATTCTCCCATTGCAATAGAAATATCAAAAGTTTGTTTTCTAATATTTTCATCCAACTTGTTACTCAAAATTAAACCACAATATAATGGAAGATAGAAACTATAAAAGGCTGTCTTGTACTTGACAATCAATGAATAAGTTTGAATATTAAAAGTATGGAATGGAATGGTTGAAGATTCATTCTTATCTACATTTGGAGGAAGTGATCTCAAATCGTGTAATTGTCCCAATTCGGTCATATAAGTCACTTCATGGAATAAATCGACCAATGGAACATATAAAGAAGGTTCATTGAAATAATGTTTCAAAATCTTGTAAATATGAGATTCAATAATTAAATAGTCATTACAGGCTGTCATTTTGACATCATTCAAACGATACCAACAAGGCTGTCCACGACGAGTAATAGAAGCATCCATAATATCATCAGCAACAAGGAAGAAGGCTTGAAGGAATTCAATGCACCATCCCAACACACAAGCAGAATGGAATTGTTTTTCACTGACTTGATAGGAATTGAGAATGAGAAGAGTATCCACGACAGCCAATCCACGATTTAATTTACCATGAGGAACATTGTAATCGAGAATCTGAGGTGTCAAGTATGGATATTGGAATGATATTCGAGAGGAATGATGAGATATAGGAATGGTGGTGTGATTTGGAATGAGTTGAATATATGCATGGTGTGATTTGAGTTGTACTTACTCTTTCAACATATTCAATATTCTCTTTGGGTACTTCATAGTTATTCTTAATGTCATCCAAAACAAATTTCTTCAATTCTTGGAATACTTGTTTGAACTCCGTTTCAATTTCTTGTTTGGACTTTTTACTATAATCGACTTTAGGTCCACTTGTGGCAATAGTGATGGATGGTTGAACATTGGAAGAGGCTGAACAACAAGAAGAGTGTTTCTTGTACAAGAACAAACCAGCAGCACTTGCAAGGGTAGCACCGAGCAATAATTTTTGATTACCAGAGAGAGAGGAAAGGAAGGACATTGGTAATAATTTCAATGATGATGAAAATGATGAGTAAAAGGATCGGGACGAGGAAACAATTGTCGAGTCTTAGGGAATTTTTTCACTTTGCTTGTAAGCAACGAGATTTTGGAGTGGAGACCTTGCGGTTCATCGGACAACGAAGAAGAATGTTTATTTACAAGACAACAGATGAAATTTGTGAACAGAGGTGCTGAATGAGAGAACCTGATTCTCAATAATATTATGCACCTCTAGTTCTTGAGAGTAGACATAAATTGAGAATATTGATAAGGGTCACAATACTTGAAATTATCCTTTGTTTCACTCACATGATGACTTGTAGTCAATTCCAAATGTTCAGGGTAGGTGCATCCAGAAACAATATTTTTCGATTTGTAATTACTCTTGTATCCTGTTGGATGAGAAGAAAGGAGAGGATCCTCATGGAGTGAATGGTTTCCACCAGACGCCTTTTGTAGTGTTTGGACGAGAGTTTGTGCATGCTCCTTTTCCTTAATCAAACTGGAGTGCTTATTGAACGAGGATTGGGTCATTGTAAGGTCTGAAGGATGATAGGAAGGATCAATTAAGCGATCCCTCCATCGAGCAACTGGTTGAACTGGAATTTCATTGTCGGTCGGAATGAAGCAACTATTGTTTGATTTGAATCCACCTCCAGTTCCTCTGTAAACATTGACTTCTTTGCTCGAGACTGTACCTTGAAAGCGTTGGGAAGTTCTCAAAAGATTAGGGTCGTTATTATGAGCTGATGTAGATTGTTTTGAAAAGATGGTATGATTGTTTGGCCCATCCATGGATCTTGAAAACTTGTTCTGAAACTCTTCCGATGTAGTTGTGGTGTACATCATGGTGATGATCCTTATTTGCAAATAATTGAGAGAGGTGATGCAGCTGTGGACTCGCGAGAGCTGTAGTTTTTTTCATCTAATTAATTTAAAAGGGTTTCGAAACTGAAAGCCGTCCGTAACGGAAATGGGCTTCTCTCTCTCTTCTTTCAAAGTGTCATCTTTCGGAAAGCAACACAAGTCACCCACTCATACAAGGAAAGAGTATTAAATCCTGGAAGGAAGTACCACCTGATGAAGCAGTATTAATAAATTAAATTGAAAATTAATTTTATTCTCAATGTACAATCAAGACATCTCCCGTGTGGGACTTGAACAACTCCCGCAACCTCGAGTCCCTCATTAGTGGATATTCAGCTGTATGTGGTAGTAAAAAAGGATAGTGGGAATGAATAAATTTACTCTTGGACAACCAACTTGGAGAAATCTGGTTGAATATATCTTTCCAAGTTATCAAAGATCTTTTGTTGGTTCTTTTCACCTGCTTGTTCCTTCTTGATTTCAAATTCTGGCTTTTCGCCTCCCTTGTCCAAAGCCCAAACTGCGCCCTTCTCTGGGTCGTAAGCAGCAAGAAGTTCCTTGAGCTTACCTTCCAATGAAGCATCAACAGCAATATTCTTTGATTTCATGTACTCAAGTTGAACAAGAGCTCTTTGTCCGTCTTGGTGTCTAATATAATTGTCCAACATAGTGTTGAATGAAGCGGCATCAGGATTTTGATATGGGTTTCTTCTCTTCAAATCATCAAAAGTGTCATGAAGATAAAAGTTGTCATTTGTGTTGGCCAATACATCAAGATATGTGTTGTAGTGTTCAGTGGTTGGATAAACACCAGAGAGCAACATGTTTCTCCAGCAACGATCAGCAATCAATGGCAAGTCTCTAACTTCTCTCAAAGATTCCAACCATTTGTTTGAGTCCTTTCCATTCTTTCTGACTTGCTTCCAGTAATATTCCCATGGATCGTCCAATTCATTGACAATGATACGGAAGCAGTTTTCTTGAGAAAGAGAGTTCAAGATCAACTTGCTGGCCACATTCAAACGACAGACAAAGTATCTGCCAAGGAAGTTCAATTTTTTAATCAGGAGAGAGTCAGTCTTGGCTTCAATGACCTTCAAAACTTCAGGCTTCAATACCTTTCTAACGCTTTCATCCAAAGCAGCGCCTTGAGCAGCTGATGTTGCGTAGGTAGCAACTCCGTAGTTTGACTTGAAAGCACTGTTGTTGTGTAGTGTTGTTTGTATTGTTGTTGTTGAAGGATTTAACGCGATGATATATTGATTGGGCGTGAGAATTGGGGTTGTGTTTAGCCAAAGTGGGAATACAGAATAAAGGAATAAGAATACGAAAAAGAATATATATATAATAATTCGAGTGGGTGTAATAAATTCGTGTTAGTGAATAAATGATTAAACAAATTAATAATTGAAAAACAATGATATTTACGTTGAACGGGCAATGGAAGTAAGTGAACGTCTGAGCATGATGAATATTTTTTTTTTAATCAACTCGCACCTCTATTTTACAAAATCACTATGCGGACTTGTCATCTTCAAAATGGCGCCTGGAAAAGAAAAGACTTCATGAACAACTCGGTTGTTTTCACTTTGAAGACATTCAGCCAATGAATTTATTAATACACTCGCGTCGGCCAATTCTCATTGTTGAATTCTAGATGGTGTTTTGATTGTGTGCAAAGATAAGCCTGTGACTGAGAACAGATAATAACAAAGAAAAATGCAACAAGTCCATACACCATCTCCACTTCATTCCGAGACAGAAATGAAAGAAGACGAGGACTGCGAACACAACCAACCCATCATCAGCGCTCCAAGAACAGCTCGTCGTAAAAGCTCATCAAAGACTACTTCCTCTCTCTTTTCCGAAGGAAAACAGATCTCTAAAAAAAACATTAAATTCATCCTCCAGTAAGAAGAAAAAGGCTTCTTCAACAACAACTGGTGCTACTGCTGGTGTTTCTGTTGTCCTTGAATCCAATCAATCACCACAACCAACTAAGAGAAAGACCTCCAAAACATCCCATTCAAAGAAAAAGACTTCTAAAAAGAAGCAACAAGATCTTTCTTCAGAGGATGATTCTAGTGATCATCAACTTCCCTCTAAAAAATCATCCACAACACCTAAACGAAGCCTCAACGATTCTTCTTCCTCTTACCAAAAAAAGAAAAAAAAGAAAAAAAAAGAAAAACATTACGATAGTGATTTTGAAAGAAATGACTATGACAGTGATGTTGAATATGAAGAAGATATTGAATTTTTAAGACCTAAGATAGCTCAATTAGGTGATTTATTTGCAGAACATAAGGGTAACATTTGTATATTCTCAGGTGCAGGTATTTCATCAAGTGCTGGATTGAGTACTTATAGAGGAAAAGATGGAATATGGTTGAGAGATGGAATGTTATTGTCTGCAATGTCCAATAATGGTGGTAGTAGCAGTAGTAATAGTGGTAACAATAGTACTAATAACAACAACAACACGAGTACTAGTTCCACCGCCACCACCACAAATAAGAATCTCAATTTGAAATACTTTCCAACACTCACTCACATGGCTATTAAGAAACTCTATGATCTAGGTTATATCAAATATATTATTACTCAAAATAGTGATAATTTACATTTAAAGAGTGGAATTGATGAAAAAGATATTGTTGAAATACATGGAAATAGTTATAAAGAATATTGTGAGAAATGTAACAAGACATTTACTAGAGAGGATATTATTGTACATCCAACCAGTGAATCCATTTATAGAAATATAGTGAAATCATCCAGTGGATTGAATATCATTGCAGCATCGAAAAGTCCTACTACGAGCATTGAGAATGATCAGACCAATACTACTACCACTTGGACTACTAAAAATACTACTAGTACTAGTACTACTAACAAGAAAAAGATTGAATCTTCCACTCCTCCTACTTTGAGTATTGACAATTCTCATCTTTCTGTTAACAAGTGTGAATATTGTCAATCTCCATTGAAAGATTTGATTGTAAATTTTGGAGAGAAGGTTCCTCAACATTTATGGGATAAGGCAGTTCAATTTATTGAAAATTCAACACTCATTCTAGCAATTGGTAGCAAATTGTCTGTAGATCCTGTGAATTCTCTTGTTACTATGAATCCAAATTCTAAATTAATTATTTGTAATTTACAATTAACACCATTCAATGATGATGCATTTATGGTTATTAGATGTAAATCTGATGATTTATTTAATCGATTGGTTGAAAAGATTGATCCACCCAATCGATTTGAAATTCCTGAATATATTTATGAAATTGAATTGAATTTCAATCCCAATGTCAAGAAGAAAGAAGAAAGAAATTCATTAGAGAGTGAAACAGAATTGAAAGAATACTTTCAAGTGAAATCTACTCAATTGAATATCATTGAAAGTGTTCAATTGTTGTTCTCGAAGAAAAATACAATGAATAATGGTGATGATGAGACAAAAAAGACTGAATCCTCAATGTCATCATTCCAAGGTACTTGGACGACGAATATTGCGATGAATATTGCGATGACGAATACTACAACTACAACTACGACTCATTCCATCAAATTGTTTAATGGAAATCAATTCACTTACCACAATTACAACAGCAGCATGACACCCATGATAATTGATCAGATGATAATTCAAATTAATCACAAAATGTTCACAACCAAGTTTAGAAAATTATTGAAATCGAACAAGACCATTACAATTCCTAGAAGAATTGAGATGACCCAAACGACTGCTGACACAACCACCACCACCACCACTACCAATCATGACATTCAATCATCATCAACTCCTTTATTATTCAATGATTTAAATGATTTATTCAAAAAGACCATCAGACTCAAATATTACACAAATCAAAACAAATGGAATTTCGAAGTGAATAATAAAAACTAAAATATCAGCTTTGCATTCAATTTTACAATAGTTTTAAATGTTTTGTAACCTTATCAATTATCTCAACAGGTGCAGGACCAATTCCTAACACAGTCTGTTGAACAGTGATGAACAACAATGATGATGATAATCGATCGTACACAAAGTGTTGTTCACAACAACCATAACAAATTCCATAGTTCGTGATCGCAACAAAGATTCCATATCATTGACACGGATTCAAATTGTCAACATGATGTTCATTCAGATTTCAATATTAAAATTCAATCCTTTTGAATCCAACAACAACAACAACACTCACCTTGGATCCAGCCTCTATTTGTGTTCTTCCAGCATCAACGACTAGATAACAATTTAATTTCTCTTTCAAACAATTTCGAATTAATCCTTCAAATTCTTTTTCACTGTCAGCTCTCAAACATATTTTAGCTTCAGCTGTGGTTTCCCAATCATGAAGATATTGTTTCCATTGTTGAATATCTCCAAGTGTAATGATGGATGATGACAATTCTTGTTGTTGTTCACTTGTTGTTGGTAAGTATTGTGAATAGATGTACTGATAATAATCAACATTTTCATACAAAATATTTCGATAGAGACCAACAGCAGCATGACAACACTGTGCTGCAATTTTACCTTTTCTCATATCCAAATCATTTCTCACCACAAATACCATCTTGTATTGTTGTTGAGTCATCTTTGGAAAGACTTTGTTTAGATATTCATTGAATTTTTGATTTAATAAAACATTATTGGAAGAAGGGATGGTAGTAGTACTAGTAGTGGTAGTAGTAGTAACAGCAGAAGGAATGTTGTTGTTGTCAACAACAAGACTATTTCCGAGTGATGAACAACAAGTGTTGTTGCTATTGGTGGTCGTTGTGTTGATGGTGGTGGTGGTGTTCGATGATTCCTCACCACTGCCTGCTAATAATTCTGATAGTGTAATAATTTGATCCACTAACTGTTCAATGGATCCGTTTGGGTTATTCTGGAGAGCTTTCCGACACACTTCCTCAGAAAAACCAAAATTCATTAATTCTTCAAGTTTGTTCAATGATGACATTTTTTAAACGCTTCAACCTCTTTCAGAACATGATGATTCTTTCGAAATTGAATATTCAATATATGTAGCTGAAATAGCTTCAATTTCAATGCAAAAGCACAAATATTTATCGATGGAATGTTTAACCTCCTGTATGGAGTAATTAAGAAAAGGAATTTGCAAATCAACTTTGACCTAACCTTTTAATTCTTTCCTATGACCATTTGGCAAGATTCATGAAAATGGTTAAAAAGTTTTGGGAGAAGACATCTCCTTTAAGAGACCATTTCTTATCAAGATACAGAACACAGTTATCCATATATTATAAAATCTGGACCAAACCATTTTTATTATCAAATTATCGTGTTAGGAAAATCTTCAAATGAATTATTTCGTGACTTGATTATAATATATGATAAAACTTACATTGAGATACAACATAATATATTTGATTTATTACACAACAAACATTCTTACCGAAGGATATTTTGTAATTATTTTTACGATATTTCCCTTTCAATTAATATTTGGAGTAATAATTTGAAAGGATAGCGTTTGCATCATAAGTTTGATATGTTTCTTTATTATATCTATAACCATTAATGATTTGACTGTTGTATAGTATTTATAGAATGATTTCTTTTGATATTATTCTTTTTCTTCACTATTGTTTCTCCCAATAAAAAACTATATAAATGTTATTCATAATATTTAAAGTAAATGTAAATAGAAATAAATAAATATAAGATCGGTTTAATATTTATATGTTAATTGGTGAACTAAATATTTTAACAATTTACTACAGAGAACAAAAAATAGTATTGTTCATATTTATTTCATTGATAGATTAACATTTCTTAATTATATACAGTACCACTGATAATAACCTGATTTGATGATATTAAAATTATTGTGTAATTCCTCAAATACAACAGATTTGTAATAGATTTTGAATGTGTTAATTTGTTTCCTAAATAGAATGGAGTCATAACTCGGAGTGGCAATATTGCACCTGCTTCATTTCATACGAACCATCTTTTGTCCTGCTTTCTTAAATCCACTAATGACACATGAAGTGGCACATCTCTCACAGCTTTGGAAGTCCATTCAAGAACTTTGTTTTGGTCTATTCTCTCAGGTTGTTGACCATTTTCAAGCTTGAAATTTTCTTTTGATCTTCATTTGAAAGATCTGTTCATCGAAAGGTCACACATTTGCATTACTTCACTTGTATTTTATCACCACCTTTGTCCCAGCTGGGACTTCAAGCAGGTTTTCTTCCTGCCTACATTCGAAAACTCTCAGATCTCTGGTATGTTGTTAAACTATCATACCACTGTTGGTGTTTCATCCAACAAGCTTTTGAGAAAAACACAAGGTATGGATGGATATTAATTCGGGAGTGATATCAAGTAAAAAAACAACGCCTATCGATTATTTGATGACATATTCAATAAGGTTCAATAAAAAAAGAAAAATTGACCATTCGTCAGTCGAAAATAAATTTGACATCACAATTTATTTGTGAACCAATTCTCGTAGGAATCAATACTTGTTCAAATCTTAGAGCTCCTCTTGAATAAATTGAATAATTTTGTTAGCCACTTGTTTCCAACCCACATCCAACATGACTAAATGTCCCACTTGTACTGAATCAGTTGGAATAATCTCACCACTGACTTTTAATCCATCTGTATGACCTTCTTGTTTTTGATTAACTTGATTGGCAATTAAATTCCAATATTCAACAGTTTTGTCGTGCTGTTTCTGAGTGAAAAATGCATCCTTTTCAATGGATATGACCTTTATATGGAATGGATGTGAAAATAATATTCGATTGGATTGCTGTGAGGCAATATCACTCTCATGATTGGATGGTTGCATTGAGGAATCATCTCTCTTGATTCTTGTTTCTTGATCTCTTTTTATACTTTGAGCATTCAGATCTCTTTTAAACATTTCAATTATACTTTGAGCATTCAATGAACATGTCAAACTATCCAAATAATAAATTAATCCTTCACTTTGTAATTTCAATTCATTTTTGTGAATATTCTGAATATCATCTAAACTAGTCTTTTCATGATAAAAATAATGTTTGGTATGATGAATGGAAGTCATTGCTATTGCATCAATTGTAAATGTCATGAAATTTGTGAATAATAGATGAAATGGATCATAACGAATGGTAGAAAGTATATTTTCAAATCTAGAGACAGGTGGAGCACTTGCTAAGAGTATCATACTTGCTAAAGGAATAACTGATAGATTTCTTTTTTTTGACAATTTGTCCAAATATTTTTGACATACAAGTCCTCCCATGGAATGACATATGAGAATTAATTGATGATTACCATTTTTGAAATCACCTTGTTGATAATACTTTTCAATGACCAATTCCAAATCATTGACATAATCGATCATTCTTAAATATTTAATATAATTCGAATGAGAAGATTTTCCATGTGCTGTGAAAGAGAAGGCACCAACACTTGAAATTTTATCATTCTTTAAAAAGTATGGAAAATAATTCATTGTAAATTCTTCTTTTGATCCAAATGCACCATGTACAAATAAGAGATGATAGTTTGTTTGCGAAGAATGTTGTTGAGTGTGTGGTTGTTGTAAATTATTAGCAATAGGTTGAGTGTGTGGTTGAACATCATGATTTGAAATACTTTTTGAAGGAATGAATTGTCTTTCAAAATCAATTCTTCTCTCATGATCTTTCACCATGTATTTGAATAATGAAAGATTTTCATTTACAATAAAGAGACCAAATAAAAAACATAACACAACAATCATGTAAGTGGTATTGGCACAACAAGAAATGAATAAATTAGGAGATGGTGGTGTTGAGGGTGCTAGTGAGAAGGGTGAAGAGTTAGTGGTGCTGGTGCTGGTGCTGGTGCTGGTGCGAAGGGTGAATGAATGATGATCCGAATCGGAGCAAATCTTCTTCCGATGATGGAGTAAGTGATGGTGTGGCGGTGTGTTCATTTTTTGAGGTTCAAATGTATTTGCCAAGAAATGAACCTTTTTTATGATTCACAACCTCTTGGAATTCTTTGGCATCATCAACACCATCCACTTTAAAACATTTCCCTCCGTTAATACATGCATAATCCTCTGGTTTGGTTAAGAATAATTCTTGTTTTTTCTTGGCATCACATCCAGCCTAGGCTCCGAGAGCAAATGGGAGCTTTTTCGACAATGTGAACCAGAAGTTTACAAAACATCATTGTGCTTGCACTTCCTTCGCTTGATCAAGCCAAGAATTCCCAAAGGTAATCTCGAGAGTTTCAATGAACAACGTTCCGGTGGTGGTGGTGGTGGTGGTAATGACAAGAATGGTGGACTCTTTTCAAAAAAAATGAAATGGAAAACTTTTTGGATCTTGATCAGCACTGCACTCGAATATTCTCTTCTCCTTCCATGGTATCTGGGTGTGATATTTCATTATTATTTAGTACAATATTTTAAACCTTATTATTTGAGAGATGTTCAATATGGTGAAAATGAAAGAAATGATTTGAATATTTATTATCAGAAACATCATCATGACAAAATGAGAAGAATGAATGATCCGATCATCACTCATTCTAGTAATAATATTTTAAATAATAATACTTCCAATAATAATAATATGTTAAATAATAATACTTCCAATAATAATCATCAAAATACTACTAATACCAATTCTAAAACACAAGTTCTATTATTTATTCATGGTGGTGCATGGAATAGTGGTGATAAATTACTCTATCATAATCTTGGATGTACATTGAGAGATTATTTGAATGATCATATTCTTGTGATTTGTAATTATCGAAAGTATTCAAAAAAAAAGAAAGATGAGACAACAATAGATCACAGTACAAGTTCCATTTCTACTGCTACAAGTTCCATTTCTACAACGAGTGGTGCCACTTCTGAAAGTCTCTCTAGTAATAGTAGTTGTAGATATGGAACTTTGGATCACATGTATGACATTGAAGATCAATTACAAGATGTAGAAAAGTGTATTGAATGGATTCATTCAACACCTCTATTCAAACCACCTCCTATCAATGGTGATCATCATTGGATAGATTTATCCATTTGTGGTCACTCCTCAGGTGCACATCTTTCACTCACCTCTCTTCTCAGAAAACCATCATTGGCTCAATATGTGAATCGAGTCATTCTATTGGCAGGTGTTTATGATTTAGAAAAACAATATCAGAGAGAAATTGAGAGAGGTGTTGAGAAATGGAGTGGATTGTATCGAGTAATGAGAGGAGATTTGATCAAATATTCACCTTATCACATGTTGATACGATCGTACAATAATACAAAGAAGAAGAATATTATTACTAGTAATAGTGGTGGTGATAGAAATAGTAGTAATAGTAGTAGTAGTGGTGATAGTAGTAGTAGTAGAATGGATCCTTCCTCGAAGTTCAACAATAGTAGTGATGACGATGGTAATGAAAAAGACACTACCATCCAATCATCCTCACACCAATCCTCACACTCTCAACAACATTCACTCTTGCATTCTCTTTTTCAATATAATCCCAATATAAAATTTCATATTGTGAATGGTGGACAAGACACGACAGTAATACCAGAATATGGAAATGAATTTATTTCACACGCATATGAGTGTCATTAACACAACAAGCAATCATTCACCACCACCAACCTTGACAACAACAACACGACCATCCTCACCACCATTATCACCATTATTATTTCATGTGAAACATTTTGAAAATTTCAATCATTCAGATTTTGTCAAATTGTTTATGGGAATTCTCAGCAATACAAAAGAATGTCTTGAAAAGAAACAAGAATTACTTTCATATCTCAAGTATGATGTACTTGGATACCAAGATTTGAAGAGTCATCATCGTCGACAATGATGTATCATTGAAATGCATTGAAACAAGAAATAGGTCGTAGATATAGAAGAAGAATGGGAATTTTAATGGAATTCATTGTTGGGTGATCATTGACCAAACACCCACACTACTGTGACTGGGTGTTCATAAAGTCCTAATCGTAAAGAAGAGGATGATGATGAACAACTACTACTATTGCTACTACTGTACTGTAATTAATCAAATCGATACTTGTGATTCTTGATAAATTTCTTTGCAATTGGATCATTTCTATGATACAACACCTTGTAATAGATTTGTTTGGTAAAGACATTATGATGATGTGATGATCCAAGTTGTTGTGAACCACCACCAAAATGACCATTCGTTGGTGCTGCATCAAAAGATGGATTATTCATACTTCCATGAATCAATTGTTCACTTGTCTTGTCCATCACATTGGCAATAATATTCTTTAAATGGCTCGTTGTGTGAGTAATGAAATTCCAATCAGGAATACCTTCACCTTCACTGTAAAAGAATTTTTCAATTTGAATCAAATCATTCAAGAGAATTTTTGAGAGAGAGACATGAGAGGAGATTTCTCTTCCACTACTATTATGACTACTATTGGTTCCACTACTATTACCATTGCTATTACCAGAACTATGATCACCACCATCACCACTCCAACATCTCCATTTCAAATGAAATTCATTATCAGGTGATAAATATCCCTCAACCACAATCAAATACAATGCCTTCACTAAATGTTTAAACATACTTGTAATAATCCACTCCACACACACTGGATCATCACACAAATCTAATAAACTCTCTAAACATGGTTCAAAATATTCTTGAATCATTTTAGGAGCAACAGTAAAATCTTTCACTTGAGGTAAATATAATTCACCAAATAAATTATGATACAATTCACAATAGATATTTCTAGATCCAATTAATTCAGTGAGTTGTGAAATGAAATCTTTTAACAAATCACATGTTCCTTCTAAATTAGAATAAAAATCAACACTTGCATAGATGGATGGTAGAGTAGTAGGATTGTGTGTTGTTGCATTAGATTTTCCAATAAATAATAATCGACTCTGTTCTGAATATTCAATTAATTCTTTCACTGTTTTGATGTATTGTCTACGAGTATTGACAAGATTGGCCAATCTCACAAACAAAGATTCATAAGAGATGGAATGAAAAGTTTTTTGAGGATTTGTAATGAGATCATTCATCAAAGAGGAGGATGAAGAATTGGTGGTGCTACTGGTGGTGCTTGTAGAGTTGGATTTTAAAAATTTTTTAAACATTCCACCAGGACTGCTTTTGGGACTATTACTTTGATTACTATTACTACTATTACTACTATTACTATTACTACTATTAGGATAACTTGTACTTTCACTACTCCATGGATATAATCTCTGGGGTATAAAATCTTCTGGTTTTGGTAAATCTTTCATAATATGAACACAATATCTTTGCATTAATCCACTCAAACATTGATTAAAATGTTTGTAATATTCCAATACATTGGGTAAACAAATAGAATACAAAGATGGTACTCCTTGCCTAATAAAGGTAAAGAGATCAATATAGGAAGATGAATAAGTGACATCTTCATTTAAGGGTTGCCATTTCTCTAATTTCACTGCATTTTCTAAATATTTAAAGAATTGACTTTGAATGTGATTAATGTAAAGATTCATGGGTTGTTTTAAGAGATTCATGATAGGTTCAAATATTTTTAGAATTCGATGAGGATAGGAGAGTTTGTAATTTCCAAATATAGATGAAGAAGAATTCAATGTGGTAGATGAAGGAGATGATGAAGAATTCAATTTGTTGTTGTTGTTAGGAGTGACTATCGATAATGTCTTGTTTGTAGGTGTTTCTTCATCCATCATGGATGATGTATCATCATTATCATCCACATTCTCATCGAAAATACATTCATTAAATAACATTAAAAAAGATTGTAATACAGAAAATATGTTAAATAAATGATAATGATTCTTCATGGTGTCATTATTAGAGTGATCATCAATTGTTGTCTTTGTAGGAAATAAATAATTTGAGAGAATGGATTGTAAATCTTTCATATAAAATGTAAAAGTCATATAAAGTGATTCAATAAATGCACCTTCATAGTAATTGGAAAGTGATGAAAATAATGTAGATTGTTGATAGGTTAATTCTGAGAGTAATTCTTTTCCAAATTTGATAAATTGATTGCAAATGATGAGATTTTGTGTGTCAATATCTTTTGAATCATTCATGATAGTAGTAGTAGGTTCATCAATGTCTAATTTTGAATCATTTAGAGTAGTGGGGGTAGTAGTAGGAGTGGAAATGGTTGTATTTGAATTGGTATCAATAGTGGTGGTCGTTGTATTCAAATTGGTAGTAGTGGTGGTAATGGTGGTTGTATTTAAATGATTGCTGGCATTCATTGTTTTCTCTGGTGTTGGTGGTGTTGATGGTGTTATTGTCATACGATAATTGTAGGCGAGAGGACTACCACCACCACCACCACCAACAACAACAACCTCAACAACACCACTCGTACCACTCGTACCACTACTACTCTTTGTAAATGCTACATGTGTACATTCTTGTTGTTTAATTCTTTCATATTGTTTTCGAATGGATGATTTGGTTATACTTTCAAATATTAAATTCATGGATGGATGTGTGAGTGTGAAATCATTCTTCATCATGATATAACAAATATATCTAAATAATTTGAGATGACTAGTAAATATTTCATGATCAATACTATAACTAGAAGTAAAATCTAATAAATTAAGTCCCAAGACTTGTCTCATCGTTCCAAATACATGATCATAATACACTTTCTCTTCTTCACTATATTTGGTATAATTAGAAATAACATTTCTCTTCTTAATATAGTATTGAAAGAGTAGTAATAACAATCGATCACATTGTAACATTAGATCAGTATCTGTACTACAATTCTGTTCCATTCTAAATATAGAATCAATGAAACACAAAGTATCCATAGTTTCAGAAATGTTTAATGTTTGTCGAATGGGTTTCAATGCCATTGTGACTGCATCGTGTTCAATCACATGTTCAAAAGATTCATCATAATTTGTATCATCATTCATGATATCTTCAAAATATTCTGGAATTTCTAATTGATTATTTTTAAGTAATTTTAAAAGATTTAATACTCGAGTATCTGAAAGTTGAGAATATAATTGAATATTGATAGGAAATGAATAGGAGGAGGGTAATAAAGAGGTCATTGTGGGAGTATTATTAGTAATAGCAGTCGTTTTAATACTACTATTACTAGGATTTAAAGTTTCTAGTATTGGCATGACAAGATCTGAATTTAGTCGAGTGTAGATTTGAATGGCATGTTGATGTTCTTCACATTTCATGATTAATTCAAATTCATTGAAAAGTAAGGATTGGAGAGAATGAAAATTGGAATAGATTTGATTTTTCAATTTCATTTGGAATGTAGTGGTGGTGGTGGTGGTGGTGGTATTAATAGTATTATTATTAGAAGTAGTAGTATTATTATTATTATTAATAGTGGCAGTAGTAATAGTGTTATTATTATTATTAATAGTATTATTATTATTTGTGGTAGTAATAGTTTCCTTTTACGAGTTGGATTAAATTTCATAAAAATCATTGAAAGTAATACATTATAAAATACTTGTGCATAGATTTTCAATACATTTAAATATTCACTATTTTTAAATTATTACCAATTAATTTCCAAAGATAGAGAAATGATTTTTGTTCAGGATTTGATTCTGTCTGTGAAGATTTCAATTTTGTTAATACTTGATAATACTCAACACAATCAACAGTGTTAAATGATGAAAGAATTGAAAGTAGAGGATGATTTGAAGAATTTCCAGAAATGACTCTCTTAACCATATTGAAATGATCATTTTTGGAAATTCCACAATATTTTCTCACGACATTCAATACAGTATCAAAAGAGTTTCGATTATTATGAATGGTATGATATTCAATAAGTGCATTGGATAATACTAATACAAGTTCATAGGAAATTAATTTTAAATCTGAATAGGAAATGTGATACCAAAGTGAAGAATTACGAGGACTCGTACTCGAGGAGGAGGTCATCCATACATGTTGATGAAATAATTCATGTAGTGGTGATGGTAATGATGATGTTTGTGGTGATCTTGGTGATTTGTTGTTATTATAAAATTGAATCACATCATCACCCATCACAGTCTTGTAAAACAACTCGGAAGTATCCAATAAGGCTGGTTTTGGAAGAGGTTTCAATCGTTTCATCATTGTCGGTTGTGGCAGTTGAGAGGAAGGTGGTTGTTGTGAGGGTTTTGTGGTGGTATTTGTGGTGATGATGGTATTTGTGGTGGTATTTGTGGTGGTGATCGCCTCCTCCATAGTAGCAGTCTCTACTATTGTTGGAGAAGAGGATGAATTGATGGTGGTACTAATATTATAATTGGCAGTAGTGGAACGATCTTCATAGTCTTGTTGTTGTTTAGGAGGAGGAGGAGTGACTGAGGTGATTGAAAAGCTTGGGATGGGATTTGACAAATCTAATTTGGTGATGGTTGGTGGTGGTGGTGTGGATGGTGTTGTTGTTGTTGGTGTGGAGAGTTGGGTCGTAGTACTTGTGGTCTTCATACTATTCGTGGTGCTGATCTTCATTCTTGAGGACTCCTTTTGTGTTTCGTTCTTCTCAGCAGAAGGTAAGTATAGTAAATGAAATTCACTCAAATCCATCAATGATTGTTTGTTGAGAATGCATTGCACAAGAGAGGACACATTGGTGATTCTACTGAGATTTGAATGAATGATGAAATCCATATTGTCCGAATTGGATTGAAGAGATTGTAAATAGGAATGAATGTGATGGGTCATGATGTCAGAAGGAGGATGATCACTTGAACTACTGCTATTCGTATCATCCATACTGTTGTTGTTGTTGTTGTTGATATTATCATTAGGATGATCAACAATTAAATGTCGATGAGTATTGAGTAGTGTGAGGAGAAGTAAATTTCTTTCATATTTCAACAAGCGCACATCTACAACATTGGAAGATGAAGTCTTGTTGAAAATGTATTCATCATCATCACAACCATTCGTATACTCCTCCTTATGATGAATATAATGAGTAATATTATGATCACTGAGCGATGGAGTCTCATGATGATGCGAATGAGTTGAGAGGTTCGCCCGAGAGGGAGGAAGAGGTGGTGTTGGTGAATTGCGACTCGAAAGGGCTGATCGCTCTTCTTGTTGTTGCTTTTGGGAGTGACGGAGTTTGGCTTTAGAAAGAGCTTTCATATTTTTTTTGTGTGAACACACCTTTCAGTTCGTTTTGGATGCATCGAGATGTTGTTTATTAGTGAACACTCTTTGTCTTTGGTATTCCAAAGTGTCAATATTGAAGTGTATGAGGTATATATAATATATATTATATTCCAACAATTTGTATAAAATATAATATATTCCAACAGAATCATTCAAGATGAAAGAGTTCCAACTCCAGCAAGAACAAAAAAAACGATCATGACTGTGCAAGAAGGATG